GGGGAGGGGAGGAGGGGGTGGAGGGAGGGCAGGGACAAGGGGAAAAATGAGAATCAAGACCTACTATGTAAAGGTTCAGAATCCCAATGATGAATGTAATTGTATTGTATACCTAGATTGTACCAATAACCTCAATAAAAAGAAAAAAAAAAAAAAAAGAGGAAAGTGTCAACCGGCTGTGAAAGACATTGGGGGGCGGGGCGGGGGCGGAGCTGGCCTGCAGCTATTAGCATGTGATAAGCACTTTCAACATAGCTGCATGGCTGGGCAGCCTTCTCATAAAGGGAAGAAGGTGGACTTTGGAACCACACACACTCAGGTGAGCTCTCTCCGAGCCCTTTCTCTCACGCGTCTAATGGAACTGCAGTCTTCATGAGTGGCTATGGGGGTGGGCCAGCTCAGAGTTTGCACAAAAAGTAATCTACTTTTCATTGCATTTTTTGGGGGGTTACTGGAGATTGAATTCAGGACCTTGGGCTTGTAAATCTTGCGGCGGCGCCACTGAGCTAAATCCCACCCTCTACTTCTAAATGTCGGATTTCCTACCTGCTTTCCAGGATGAAGTACAGTGTGGCACTACGTGACACAGAGGGACCACACGTTATGATGGTGGTGCACAAGAGTACATCACCCAGTGAGTTCCAGCTTCCTGGTTTGGATAAGTACACTCCACGAGGATTGCATGATGAAATCCCCTCATCAAATATGTCCCCATTGTTAAGTAATGTTCGACTAATTCCATGCAGAGAATCTAAGCTGAACATCCATTTCTACAGTTGAAGTTTCAAACTTGAAAACTGCATTTAGTTTAAAACCATAAAATTGCCAATAATGTTCTTCACGGATTTATTTACAATAATGTAAAAATGGAAAACAAATGTCCTCTGGTAAGAAGTTGACTTAATAGGCCAGGTGTGGTGGCGCAGCCTGTAATCCCAGCACTCGGGAGGCTGAGGCAGGAGGATTCGAGACCAGCCTGGACTACACAGGGAGTTCCAGGTCAGTCTCAACTACATAGTGAGACCCTGTCTCAAAAAACCAAAAAAAAAAAAAAAAAAAGAAGTTGACTTAATAAAAGTGGCCATGTAATGCAATATATTGAAGTATTAAAATTATGCCTTTATTTATTTATTCTTTGGTAGTGGGATGGAACTCAGAATCTTGCGCTTTCAAGGCAGGCGGTGGAACCACTGAGCCAAATCCCGGGCCCTCTTTATTTACTTATTTATTTTTTTAGTGATGGGTATCAAACCCAGGGCCTCTAGAATCTAGGCATGCGCTATTCCACTAAGCGACACGCCCAGCCCTAAACTTGTGTTTTATTTTTGAAGGCCTGCCTGTGGGTGTTACTGACAAGATAAATGTTTATGATAAAATGTTAAGTAAATTCTTGAGCAATAGGGCTGGGAATGTAGCTCACTGGTACTGCGCTTGCCTGGCACTGGGGGGAAAAAAAGCAGTCAGCAAAATTTGGCATCATTCAATAATATGGCCCACTCTAGAAAAATAAGTAAAATACATAGATATACAGGCGAAGAAGCACCCAAAGAAGCATTTCATCTTGTGAGCTGGGAAAGGTGAAATTACTTTCTTCCAGTACTTGTGCGCTTTCTAAATTTTCATGAATAAGCGTCATTTCCTAGGAATCTAAAGCTCCCACCTTCATTCTTTGCCAGGGCAGGACACGGCGCGGACACCAGCGCCCTCTGGCGGCGCCCCGAGGCCCCGCCCCA